ATAAGTGTTTTTATATATTTATGCAAGTATATAATATAGTAATGACCGGTTACACTCTTGTACGTGGCGTACATAATATATAGATTTTAATTCCCCGATCTGGATGAATTGTACCATATATTTTATTAAAGATTATTTGCCCGCAACTGTATACAAAGCTAGTATAAGTGTTTTACATAATATATACATATATCTATGTTCGTTGTGTCTACATTTAAAAACCTAGTGTCTTAGTATTTATCTACACTCTATAAAATAATAAATACTTACATGACTATATGTGCACTATGTACCTATATATATATATAATAAGTGGATACCCATTGTAGCGTACGTATACCTACAATATAAGCGCATCATTTACTTATTATGAGCCTCCTGCAGAGACTAAATATAATTTGCTAAAAAAATATTTAGTTATCAATTAATAATAGATATTGATTCTTGTATATTATATAATAAAAAAACGAATGGCTTATACATATTTTTATATTTTAGGTTATATATACTAATATAATAAAAATTATCTAGTTTAGATTTATTTCTTGTATGTATACATAAGAATAATAAACATACATACATAAATATTATTATTCAATAAAATTTGTCTAATTGAACATCATAAAAAAGATAAAACTGAAATGTTTAAAATCAATTTAAATTTTAAAGTAATAACAATAAAATATAATAGCTATTAAAGTAGAAAATTATTATTTTCTTTATAACTTCTATATAATAGTATGTAATATATATTAATTACATTTATTCGATTTTGGTACACACACACACACACACACACACACACATATATATTTATTATGCATGAATAAGATGTTAAAAAAGAAAAATTACACATTCGATAACACTGTTAAAGGTTCACATTATAATATTATAGTTGAACATTTTTATCTGTTAATTATTTCACCATTTGTATAAAATAATGAACAGTTATGATAGTTAATGTTTAATTGTTAATTACCTAATACAACAAGAGCGAAATATATTAATAGGCATAGTTGAGTAATTATATAGGTATATCCGTTTATTTTGTTAATTAATTGATTAAGTAATATTAATGTTATTTGGTTTATTTTTAATTCAATAATATTAATATACGATAAATATTTGTATATAAAATAATAATAAGGTATTTTGTTCATGCGTAGGTGCTTATTATATATAATATATATATATATATTAAAATTAATGATAAATAATAAATTCATATTTTCATACATTTAAGTCGTAAAAAAAATAATTATAAGCGGTTAAATTTATAAGACATGGGTAATCTTTGTTTTTTTTTTAATTTTATTATTATTCTAATTTATTGTTTATATAATCATTGTGGTTAAACGTTTAATTTTTTTTTTAATTTTCATTGATTTCAACTATAGTTTAATACAGTGAAAACTGTCTAATGCGGAATAACATATGGGACCAATCAAAAATTCCGGATTATAAATTCGTATCAAATTTTATATTAAAAAATTAGTTTACAACATTTATAATTTGTATTTTTTGAATTAGAGACTAATATAATCTTCATTTATTACTTTACTTTATATAACTTATTTTAGATTAATTGTAGATTTATTTTCTTGCAAAATTATTTACAATTTATACATATTACAAAAGTATGAAGGTTGGGAATTAATTTTAAACATTTAGCTTTTCCAAAAATCATGTAAAGTTTTTGTTTTGTCACTATTGTTACTATTTTTCCAAAAGTATCATCACTTAGTATGTGCAAACTATTCAATGTAAGACTGTTGGTGCATAACTGTTTCATAGCTATACATTATGCATACGAGATAAGTTTGTATAGCAGATACGATAACCAAAAAATACAAATTACCCAACTAATACATTATGTAGTACAGTTTTATCTTAATTATCGTTTTACGATGTACCCACATATTCATATCAACGTAAAATGACACGTGTCAGATTTTCAGCTTATGCAAGCTTTTTACTTGCATTAGACCCACAAAACCGTTCTGTTTCTGCGTTAGAAAGGTTTCGTTTTATTGAGGTTCAACGTCTATATTATAAAACTATAAGAACATGCCGGGCCCATAGAACAATTCCGTATTGGATAGTTTTATTCAGGGTCCAAATTATCCAGTTTTCACTGTATTGTCATATGCGTTTTTTTCTCCTATACCTACCTAATTTAAACTATAAACATATGTGAAAAAAGAGATCCAAGTATCCAAAATACATATTGGTGAAAATATTTTGTGCTATTGATGACAAAATGTATATTTATATTGTTAACAGTCTTACAAAATATATACAGTACCAACATATATATATATATATATTAAACAAAAGCTAGTTCAGAATTCAGATAGAATATTATTATATTAATAATAATTATTGTAAAAAATTAAAGTAAACCTGCTTAAATATTGAAAATATTTTTGTAAACGCTTTACGGTATAATTTTAATTTTATCGTAATTATATTTTAGCAATTAAAATATATAAGTAGGTTACATATTTAGTAATTATACAAATTTATGAATAACTATGTCCTATAATTATAACAAGGTAAGTGTAATGATTGTAAATGGTAAAATTGAGTAATAATTTTTATCTAAAAAAATATGATATGTATGTTATTCATGAATAATAGTTAAAATACAAGTCAACTTGTAATAAAATAAAGCTCGGTAAAACAAACTCTTAAAATAACAAACATTTTCTCATTTCTTTGAAATTCATTATAGGTAATACGAATTAGCTGTATTAATAAAAATAAATTGAATTTCATGTTTAGAACTGATGAACTAGATATATTTTTTTATATATCATTCAATCATTCAAATATATGATCATTTAAATAATCAATTTTTGATCCAAATATTGAATATTTATAAAAAATATGTATATATTAACTAATATATTATTATATTTGTGGCGATTTTAAGAATTTTAAATTGTCAAATATTAATAAAATATATATAAGCATATAAGTTGATAAATATACCTATGTAGACATACTCGTATATGGGCAATGGACATAATATCTGCTGTATACCAGGGACAGCCAAACTTTTTTTGGCTGCGATCTACTAAAAATATATTTCACCTTTGAGGATCGACTTCAATAAAAAAGTTTTTTTTATTATATTAAGTTAATATACCAGCATAATTAATTTTCGTGTGCGTAGCCTAAAAATAAATTCTAACACGATTGACTTTTAAATCTTTGTGATTGACTGTTTATCCGCCCCTGCTAAACAGGGGTTTAAACTTTTAATTAAATTATTGTTAAAAATAAATCAACAATTATTTGACAGACTATAACTATTGAATTTAAATGATGTACTCATCTAAAACATTTTAAAATCAATCTTTGAGTACTTGAAATTGCAAAATTTTAACATAACTATATTTTCCACACCTATCTTATAAGAGAGCACCCTCCCGGTTGTGTAAGGTTCCCACGGTTAAATTATATACTTATATTATATAAACGATCATATGCAGTATACTTATATAACTGCCCCTTTTTTGGATATTTACCATCACGCTATTTTCGTATTTATCGTTATAATTTAACATAAATATGCGCTTAAAAAAAAAAACCTGATACACATAATAAATATTATGTATAATACATAAATAAGTGTACCTAATCAAATTCTAATATAATATTATAAGTAAAATAAATACGTATCATATTTCTAATTTCTATGTATAAATACATTAAGAACTTGCAGTATACCATCTATTAATATCACCTAACTTTTTAATCACATAACATATTTTTATTTAGAATAAAGTATAAAGAAATATATTACAAAGGTACCTCCTATATATTTATACACATAACAATTCTATATACATTTATCTTTATACCAATGTATATGAAGGTACAAAACTATAAAACTAAGCACGCAAATTAACTAATCGTACTTCAAAGTAAAATATTTACAATTTATATAATCCTATTATAAAGATCGTAAAACCGTTTAAATTTAATACTCATACATCTCTAATAATTATAAATATAATTAATGTATAATAATGAATCTACTTTTATTCAAGATTAGTATTTGACTGTACTGTAAGTAGAATTAGGTATAATCATTATTCATACCTACTATGTGCACAACTTCTCACTACAATAAATTTTCTCTGAAAATTAGAATGGTTTAAAAATAAACCTAAATGTGTTATTGTAATCACGCCTATTATATACTAACTTATGATTTATTAATTATCAATTTTTTTTAGGTGATTGCCTATCTATATTTCTTGTTACTAGGGTTACGTGCTATTTAAATCGATGTACCTCTATATATTATGCAATAAAACAAGGTAAATTAATGATCACACGAATGGGTTGAATTAAAACATTTTTCATAAGAATAATATATAATGTTATATTTTTGATTTTACACGCTAATAATTCATATTCGTGATTCACATAAAATTACTTACACAAAGCGGGAATTTTATAAAATTGATTTTTATTATAGATCTTATTTTTAAAAGATAATATGTTTTTAACAAATATTAAATTACGGTGAATATTAAAATATTATATAGGTATGCCTACTCATCATATAACCAAATCTATTAAATCTATAACTATAATAAATAAAAATACCTTCTAGATATTATTTGATTTTTACAAGTGTAACTTAAGGTTTTTTTTTATAACTTAAAAGTTTAATGATATACTTAAATAATTCTAGTAATTATTATAATTATTTAAACAACACTATATATTTTTGTTTCCATATTAATATATCGATTTCATTATGTTTATTCATAGTGCATTTATCGTGTATACATATAGTTTTTTTAATCGAAAATAATAACATCCTGAGTATTAAAAAAAATACCTATAGACTATAAAATATATCTACGCATATATCTAGAAATAAAAAAACAAAATTGTTGAAATATTTAGGAAAGTGCTCAACGTACCTATTATAACACTTTTGTACGTAATAAATAATATGAACAGTATCTGAAGCTAACCTTTTTTGGGTGATCCGTTTTCAGAGGCACTGTCATCACTATGATTGCCTGACATATTAATAATCCTGTGCTGTTGGTGTTGCTGCTGCTGTTGCAGCTGTTGTTGTTGCTGTTGCTGTTGCTGCAACAGTAATTGATGATGCTGCTGCTGCTGTTGCTGCTGATGGTGATGCGGTCGTTTCTTGCCCGCGGGTTCCGAGTTAGGCCGGTGATGGTGGTGTTGTTGTTGATGTACGGCTGCGGACATCACATGACCCGCGACCGTATTGTTCCTAGCAGCGGCCGCGGCCGCAGCTGCCGCGATCGCATACCGCTGAGCGGCCGCGTGTTCAACGTGGTGTTGCTGGAGGAACGGCGAAAGGCCGGCCGCCGCGAAACTGGCCGCAGACGCCATGCCGTGCGGGAAACGGGCGGCAAAGTGCGGGAACAGAGGATGCGGAGGCATTTGGACGCCGTTTCCACCGGACTGTTGCCCTGCGCCTCCGGATGTCGTGGCGGCCGTACTTCCGTAACTGTTGGCCGCGGCCGCGGCAGCCGCGGCGTACAGCCGTAACGATGGGGACGCTTGTCCCGAGTCCAACACCATCATCGTGTGCTTACGATGTAACACTAGTGTAAGACAGTAATCACAGTAAAAAGGACTGCAGAACAGCTATAAAAGCGACAACAGCAGTGTAGTATAATATATCTAATGTAATCACAGTCGACGGACGCGGTGGCGACGACCACAACGACGGCAAACACAACAACGACGGCGCAAACACGACTACGACACTATATGCAGACAGCGACTACTACGCGGCGACGGCGACCGGACGGTTGTGATGTGGCGAGCAACTGCAGACGAGCGCGCGGTACGGCATCGGCGCGGCTATTAAATATAGTTAACACCTATTTTTCGGTGCCTCCGCGCCGGCCCGGCCCGCCCCAATACACGCGCGCACCACCACCGCCGCCTCGGCACCACCAGCACCGCCGCCGCAGACAGACGCCACGGGCACCGCTAACCCCATGTGCCGTAATGCTATAAGTGTATATTTGTGTGAGTGTGTGTGCGTGTCGACTAAATTGCCGGGTAATGATGGCGAGCGATTCTCCCACCGCCGACGCCGTCGTTCATTGATTCGTTCGTTCCGGACGCACACACGCCTCGAGTGGCCTCAGAAAGACACGCCCACTGCCGCCGCCCGGGATACCGGGGCGGCCGCCGCCGACGCTTCGGTTATTATTACCCGGTATAGCACCACGCCGCCGCCGTCAAAAGGACCGGCGTCACCGCCCGCGTGATGATGATAATAATAATTATCTTCAATTTATACTTTTCGGTAAACACACCGAAATATTAAGATCCCACAAAATCATAAGTAAGTCACTATAGGTATAGGTATTATTATGTATTATTATATTATTATGATGAGTACCTATGTAGCTATATATGTTATGCGCGCGTCTTCGTTAGAAACTTTAACGAGCCAGTGAGACGTTACAGCGCATTCGCTGTCTTGTGTCTTCCTATATCTGCATGTAAACAGAAAGTGTAATAATTATTAATCTATGTTCTCTTAAGGTTTACTGGTTACTGTAATTAAGTGAAGACGTGAAGTATATAAGTGTACATGGATATAAACGTGGTTAAATTATTTATGTACTATTATCTGTTTTATGATTCATGCGTGATATATTTACCTCTGTGCGTGATGAATACAAGGTTATATGCCTACATTATATATATATATAAGGTCTGTGCCTTATGATTTATTTTATCCAATCGTGTATCATAATATATACTTACATATATGATCATTCAATTCAACGAACATCTGCGATTTATTAGGTTAGGTATACCTATATTCACTATAATAATGTGCTTCTTTTCAAAACATACAAAATATTATGTATAATAATTTATAACTCATGTAGGTATATAAATATATTTAATAATTTTTTATTATTTTAAACGATCAAGTATACAACATAACATATTGTGTATTTGGTATATCTATGAACACGAAATAAGTTAAAGGTAGGCGAATACCTACTAAATAATAGTATAAAGTAGCTAAATGTTTATCAAGTTTTAGCACCGTTGCCACGTTGTTAACTAATATACGAGTGTCAAACACTGAATAATTGAGCAGTGGTTTAAAGTTTAGATATGTTATATACGTAGGTATATTTATATTGTCTATAATAGCTTAAAAATGTGAATATAATATTTCGTTATTTATGAGACATTGTTTACACAAGAACACAAGCGTTGTACGGTATAATTATATTAAATTTGAACGTGAAAAATAAATGAAAATTTTTTATAAAATATAATTTTTTTTTTAATTTTCATGCACGTGCGCACCAATAATCTTTAACAGTGGCCAGTGTTCTTTTTGCGCACAGTTTGTCATTCATTTTCCAGTCTGGAAAGTTACTGATCGTATTAACGCGTATATTATAAAATGAGAATTTCTTTTATTCTATTCTCTGTAGTTTTATTTAATATTTTTATCGACTTTATTATAATATATTATGTAGGTAGGCAATTGAAAGCTGTATATATTATACATTATACATAGTTTTCACTGCATGTTAAATAAGGTTATATTATGTATTTAAAGGTATATACCTTATTTAATAATAATATTTTAATAATAGAACTATTAGATATACCTTTAAACTCTCAAACTTTTAGTCAAATCGTTAAAATTATTAAGAACATACAAATAAATTCATATTTTTTTATCACAATAGTCATTTTTCTTTGTATATGATATGTAATAATACGCAATTATTCATTGATAAGTAAACTTATAACGCGATTTTTATATATTTATTATGTACCTAATTGTTTATTATGCATACCTATAATATTTATTTAAGCTTTTGAAGAATTAGTAAAATATTTGATAAAGTGAGATGAGAAAATGTTTTCATATTATATGTGAGTAGGTATGATTTGTTTGACAGACAAATGGAAAAACTATTCATCATTCAACTAATTTACGTCCTACGAATTGAAATGTGTATAATATAATACATATATATATTTAACACTGATACCTATTTTTTGAACAGAGAACACTAAATTAATGTCGTAAATAGTTATACCCACTAAAGTTCAGAATAAAACGATTTTTGAGAGTCATTGTTCATCCACTTTGGGACATAAGTTTTATGTGCAGTATATGTAAGCTGATTTCCTCATCTCACAACAATAAACACCTTTGTGCACATAAATATCCGTTTTATTTCGTCATTTATTTAGATTTGAGTCGAGGTTTTTCCATGATAACTTAAAAGTGGATGGAATCGCAATTTTTTCAGTATAGACCTCTCGTATAAACGGAGCAATAAATAAAAATATGTGTACAGACTATGCGTATAATATTTATGCAGCCGGAGGGGGTAGAGGGCAGAAAAAAGCAATTTCATGCAAGCGAAAATATATATATACATGTATACATTTGTCTGTGTGCGAGTTTTATATAAAAAGAGAGAGAATAGCTAGTAACAGAAAGAGAGGAAGTGAGATGGAAAGAGAGAGAAGGAAAACATGAGCATAAACTGTTTTTGAAACTTAGAACGGAAGGGCCACGAGAGGAGAGAAAGTTTAATGAGAACAAACTGCCTTTTGGGTACTTCCACCCTGCTACCACATCCCACACCATTATAACCCCAAAAGCGGTAGCAGCGGTTACGTGTTCTCAATTCTTAACTGACTAAAATAAAAAAAATAAAAATACTATGGTGGTTGGTTTTTATTGCCTGGAACAGTTGACAGAGTATGAGTAGCGGTGGAGAAGCAAATAAATAAACTATATATGGAAAAATATTACCCACTTTATTCAATACCCGAGCAAAATTACGGGAAAGTCTGTAGTGGAACAGAGAGAATGATTTTTTTTTTTTTAATACTGCCGATAAAAAAAAAAGAAAAAAGTGTTTGTTGCAAACAATAGTGCTCTTGGATACGCCACTGCCACTACGCGTGGCTCACACTATATATATATATAGAGACAGAGAGAGATATTTATATATGGTATAACTAGTAAATCAGTGAATAATTTAAAAATACAATATAATTACAAAACAAATATTAAATACACATTACTAAGTTAAAATATTTTTGTAATTTAGAAATTATATTGAAAAACAATAATTAACATTTACTGTTACAAAACCAGCTACGTCCTACACATTATATTTTATAATTATTATTTATTATTAAAACTGTATAACTGTATTAATAAACGATTTTCAATCAGATAAATTAGAATTTATTAATATCGAATACATTTTAGGTATATAAAGTTTAAACACTATACATCTATTTATAATACTCATTTAATGTGTGATATTAGTATAATGGAAAATTGTTATTAGGTTTTTTTTACATGTGTATAATACTTCAAATAATTATATAATATAATAATTAATATTAATTGTTTTAAGAGGATTGAAAGCGGTAATTTTTTATCTTTGTCCAATACGCACGCATAACATAGGGTTATAGATATGTTGTATTCCCAACGTACCAATTGATATTATAAAACGAAAACAATTTTGAAAACAGATTTGAATTTGTCGTTAAGTCTTTTTAGGATCGTATTTTTCATATTTTTTAATTTTTGATTTTAACTTCTCAAAAATTTTAAATATACCAATTTTTTAACTACTCTTTTTTCAATATATCTAACGTTTTTAATATTTTAGGGCATACAATTAAAACTGTAGGAAAGTCAATTTTCAGTAGACTTGACGAAAAATTCATATTCATTTTCAAAATCCTTATCGCTTCATTATAACAATCAGTACGATTAAAACACGAATATAACACGTCTATATAATCCCATGTTGCGTGTGTAATAGACAAAGACAAAAAAATCACAGATCCCAATTCCCTTAAGTAAAATAAAAATATGCTAAGTTAAAATAAATATATCTGTATGTAATACTACTACATAATATATCTAAATGGTGTACCTACATAACACAAAATGTTTGACTTATGCCATTTAACGTTTAAACTTTAAAAATAAAGTATTTTAACAATAACATAGGTACAATATTTTATATACCTATATAATATTACTTATTGTGTAAATATATAGAGTGTAAACATAAACGATTTAAATCCTATTAAATAATATAATAATGTATCTACATGTATATCTATTGTTAAAAATTCGAAAGTAATAAAAACCAAAAATCGATTGTAAAATAAAGCGCACATATTTGAGGTGCTACAAAATAAAAATATATGTGCTATTTATATTTTTATTCACCCTCCAATAAATAAGACCTACACCATTAATTATTTTTATTTTTATGTTTACTTTTAATGAATTTTAATTTTATACTCAATGAAAAAGTATATGCTATGACATTTAAATTATGTCTGAAGGGAGAAATTCTGCTTGTTAATACAATATTATGATGATCATTATTTATGACGTTTGGGCATGATAAAGCGTAATATTTAATACGTTATATAGGTACCTACTTCATCATTTTTTAAGGCTTTAAAAAAATGTTCAAAATTTGCAAACATTGAATTTTGATTCGAATTTATATAAGCTCTATATTATTGAATTAATTTATTAGGTCGTATTTATACCGCTATACTAAATACTTATGTATTGCATTGTAAATATCTAATAAGAATTAAAGATGTATTTATTTTTTTTAAATAAATTATGCTTAATATGTTTTAATATATAAATACATAATCATTTAATACCTACTGAAAATCATTTAAACTATCACACAAGATATATATATATTGTATCAAATAGTAAAACAATTTTTAGATCACAATGTACAATTAATATATAGAAGTAAATTTATGCAAGATATTAAATATTTAAT